TGAACACGAAGCACTTAAAATGGCCGTCTGTTAGAGAGTATAGCTTGAAGCGTTCACCTTCCCGATTAACCACATCGGCATAAGTGATGAAATCGTCTCCGTTACGTTTCACAAGTTTGCGACACTGGTAACCAATATTGAAAAGTACTTCTTACTCACCTAATATTTTTGTGAGTGTCTGCATCATTTCATCGAATGGTAGGATGTAATTGGAGTATATTATGTGTCCAGTGGAATCAAGTTTGCGGAGCAGAAGGTGAACTCTCCATGCGTCGTCATCTTGGGCAAACTCAACGCGGAATAGGTCTTCGTATCGTTTGAACGAAGAATGAAATGTTACGTTGGCCGCAGGATCGAACCAAAACTGGGTGCTACTGTTGGCAGCTTGTTCACTAGACTCAGTGATGAAAGATTAGCTAGACTGTCCTGGCGAGGACGCGGAAAGGCGTTCAGTAATCAAGTTCATCAGCTTCACCTGTTGCTATAGGATCAGCTTGATATCACGACTTTCGATGCTCATTGCTAAAGCAGGATCCGTCACCAAGTGGTAGCAATCCGATAGCTACTAACGCAATTCGGAACAAACACGCACGGAAACCGAACACTCACAACGAATTCACTGCACAGAATCGCGAATGCAACACAAATCCGGTACCAGTATAGAGCTTTAACTCAGGAAGACAAGAAAATATGACCTCAGATGCGAGATCTATTCCCACGCCAACATAGAACACCAGAAAGCCGTGGAAACTCATGATTGGTTCAAGTCATTCAATGGCCTTGCCAAATCAGCCAATCACAATGTTCGTTTGAAGTGGGAACAGACAGCACGCACCGTTTATAAATCAAAAAGTGGTGGCTAACAATAAATCCTAGGTTTTGGCTGACACTGGTGTAGCTCATGGGAGATATAGCCTTTTCCTAACAGGCTGCTCTCACTGTGTTCAACTCACGACCTCACGATCACGAACACTCGGTTTGCACTGAGTGCGAGTGATATAGCAACTTGGACGTACCCGCGGATTGGTGACGCTCACTTGCTCGATTAAGTCATCGTACCTTAGCTTGACATGCGTGAACTGCGCATGACGCGTGTACTACATGAGGCTGAGAGTGGTGTTGATCAAAAATTTGTGCATACCAAACTGTACATCTATTTTCGTTAATCTATGTATTGCACTCATGTCTTAAACCGGCGGAAATATAACGTTCTTTGCCTTGGTGCTGTGGAAAAAGAAGGATGAAGCTTCAGAAGACGATGGCTGAACGCCTGGGTGATGTGGACTGCATAGCCACTGTGGGCGACTGTGGCACCGCATTCGGGACCATGTGATAGCTGCTGCCGGGCTCGCAAAATTACAAGCTGCCTGATTGGTTTGATGAGAACAATGCGACAATTGGCGCATTGGTGTCTAAGAGGAATGCAGTGTTTGTTGCACATGTAGCAGACTCCAGTGACTTGGGGAGGAAGAGTCAGTTTCGCGAACTTCGACGGCGACTGACACGAGAGCTCTGTCGCATAAAAAATGCATGGTGGACGGAGATGGCAAAGCAGATGGAATGTTACGCCGAACGCCACCAACACAAAGAATTCTTTGACTGCTTGAAAGCGGTGTATGGGCCAAAATTGGAGCCGCTGAGGACGCTGATCGACGGTAGTACAGGCGCCACTTGCACACAGACTGCAAATATAATGCAGATCTAGCAAAAGCACTTTGACTCTGTCTCTTGAACAACCGTTCAGAGACCGACTGGATTAGATTGGACGGTCTCAAGCAACACGATGTGAAGGCGAATCTGGCGGACACGCCGAAACTGGATGAGACGCAGAGAGCACTTGCTCAGCTGCGAAACGGCAAGTGTGCTGGTACCGACGGGATCCCGGCTTAAGCAATAAACACAGCGGACCCGCGTTGGTGACTGCGCTGCAACACGTGTGGATCAAGGAGGAGGTGCCTCCTGAGCTGAAGGATGCCCTTGTGCTATCACTGTAAAAGGGCAAATGGAGCAGGCAATGTTGCACGAATTATCTTGGCATAAACTTCCTGAGTTGTGTAGGTAAGGTGATTGTCCGAATCCTACTCAACCGCCTGGGCAGTCAAGTTGTGTAACCGAACGTGGCGGAAGAGCAATATGGATTTCGTTCGGGTCGCAGCATCATCGATATGGTGTTTGTGGCTCGTCAGTTGCAGGAGAATTGCAGAGAACGATACCAGCCACTGTACTCGATTTTTGTTGATTTCATCGAAACATTTGATACGGTGAACCGCGAGGCACTGTGGCTGGTGTTGGATAAGTTTGATTGTAAGAGTTACTTTATAAGTTTACTCGATTGTCTACACAGTGGTTTGCGGGTGAGGCTGCAGCTGGGTTGATGGACCTCGGATGACTTTGCAGTTGCCTCTGGTGTGAATCAAGGCTGTCTTAGCTCTTGCCCTGTATAAGATCCATCTTCATGCCATGATTTCTTGTGCTTTTGATACGGCGTGTGCTTACGGTGTTCGTGTGGAGCACCGTATTGATGGTGGGTTGCTAAACACCCGACGTTGCAGTGCGAGAATTCTAGTCTGTGAGACAACTATCCGTAGGTTGGTGTTTACTGACGACTATGCGTTGTATGCGCATAGCGCGGATGAGTTGAGGCACATGACTATTGCGCTAGGAACGACAGGGGCCAAATCCGGGCTCACCATCAACACATACAAAACTGTCTGTCTCTTTCAGGCTTAACCGGAGGTGGAATCTACAATATTGCCAAAAATCAGCATTATTGATGAAGTATTAAAAACCACATCCCGCGTCTGCTGACTTGGGAATGTGATGACCAGCGACTACACAGTGAGGTTGGTATCCGCGTATCAAACGCTGCGGCGGCATTCGGGAAGATTGAGTACCGAGTGTAAAACAACCATCAGCTTACCGTTGGCACGAAGCTGATGGTGTACCAATCCATGATGCTGTCTGTTCTTCTATACGCCATCGAAACGTGGACGATGTAACGGCGGGATGTGCGATATCTCGAGCGGTTTCATCAACACTGTCTGCGACGGATTATGCGCAGCGGTTGGTGCGACAGAGTCGCAGACACGGAGGTGTTACGTCGAAGTGGAATGTATGCAGTGGACTGCGCACTTTTGCTGCGATACTTGCGGTGGCTCGGTCATGTGTGGCGTTGGGATTCGACTCGGATGACGAAGCAGCTGTTTTGTGGTCAGTTGAATGTTGGAAAGCGTCATGTGGGGAACCGAAGTTACCTTACCAGGTGGTAATCAAGTTCCAGTATTGATTTCAGGTTTTGGGAATCGAAAGCGGTTGATCGACGTACATGGCGCGTTATGATAACATTGGCAGTTGCTGTGGTTTGCTAGAAGGGCCTCATGCATGCGGAGGAGAAACAGCAGGTGGAAATGCGACAGTCATCGATGGGTTGTACTCCATCGGCATGGAGCGTATGTTGTTGTAGCGCATGCGGTCGCAAGGGCTTGAGTCAAACGTGCCTAGTGGGCTATGAGCGAGGCCAGTCGGGGCCACACCGATCAACGACGGGTGCCGCAGAGAAGGTAGGCAGAGCTTGCGCAGCGTTTGTAGGTACGCTACTTTCGACTTACTAACTACGTACTATTTCTTTATTTCAGTTGCTCGGTCTGCTATATTTTGTCACTTCTCTGTTAGCTTATTTTTATGTATGCCTGACTATTCTATTTCGTTCCACACGTTGCTTAAACAAATGATGATTAATTTCATTAATTTTTCCCATGTGTTATATATGTTTTTGCGCTCTTTTTCTACCATCTTGGTTTTATCGCGGATATGTTGATAACACCTTTATTTCATATGCTAATTTACTAAAGATTTTACTTGGCATCTCCTTATGATTTTTTCGATTTATTTTATTTGCTATCATTATTGCAACTAATTGACTGTTTCTTGACATCTCTGATGTGGCTGCGCTTGATATGCATGTTGACATAGTGCCTACCTGTGTAATACCCACTACCTCGTCTCTACTGGCTCTAGGAAACGATTCGTCGTTGCTGGAGGGGACGGGGTGCACGGTCCTTGTGGCCGTGCTAGGCTCGAAGAGTGGTTCCGTGCACTCAGTGTGGAACGGACTACGGTCCAGCCGTTGCCTTGTGTGCGCTTGTTTCCCCAAATACAACGTGCTTGTGTTTGCCAGTGAAAGAGTGTGGGTCTGATCCACTGTTAAAACGTGGCTCCCATCCGCATGCCCCCGATCTTATTCTTTCGGGTTTACACCGGATATGCTATGTGTGTGTGTAAAGTTGTAGGTGGTACAGTGCAAGCCACCCATGGTCCCTCTGTAAGCACAGGCGTCCTGTGGCTATCTCCATGGAGATCGCAGTGACAGGCAAATCCGGATCCGGATGTCGCCAACCATATATAAAGAGTAAGGCAGTCGATTTTTGACTTACTTCTTTTTGCGATTCGCATGAGGCAATCCTTTTACTTAGTATCGTGTTCATCAAGTCACAAGTTTCCGTCCATTTATCACCATCATTTATTGTTCGCATTACAAGACAATGATGCATCTTCTGATTAGGTTAATCACTGCCAAACTCAGCCGAACAGCCCCCACATATCTTGAGAACGGTTAGAGGAACGTTTCGTTTTATTTATACTTACCGTTGCTCGAATCAACTGGGTCTCGTTTAAGTTGCTAGTTTGCAAGATCAAAGTCATGAATCAGATCCAGTGGATGCGCGCTACTGACAAGTGAGGCACCTTATTGACAAGCACCACCGATATCCCTACTGCTTCCTAATCTCGCACCTGTGTTTTAGCAAAGCATCCTATTCTCATCCGCCAAGTCCAGCCATGGCTGGTACTTTCCGCTAACTGTTGTGTTAATGCATTTACCCGCCATCCGATACTCATGCTTGATCATCGTTGTTTTCATCCCCCCACTTTGATACCCCGTTCCATCGTTTCATATGGCTTCTTCCGGCTACGTGACTCTTTCTCTATACTCTTCTCATTAGTTATCTATCCGCGATTGGCCCAGCCGGTACCTGTGGATCCAGTAATTGTGGCCGGTAAGCGCTTTATTTCGCGCATGTTCAGCTTATTTTTGCATCATTTTTCTGTCTATTACAATACCGTGTGATCTAATCTTTCTTCTATACTTGCAGTTTCCCCACCCTCCAGACCGTGCAATACTGGTATGCCCAAGTCCATTTTGCGGAATCGGACCTCCGAACGTCATAAGAGACTCGCTGTTATGGCCCGCATTAATGAACGACGTTGTGATATTTATGATCGTGTATCGCGGACTCCTCATCTCGGCCCTCCTGATTTTGAAAGTCCCCTAGGACCGGATTTAGTCCACCTTGTCACGCGCATGACTCGAGAGCCATGTGCGTCTCTGGGCTCTCGGTCTGTTTACCTGGGGCTAGTGAACGGCTGGTTGGCTTGCCATCGAAGTTTGCACTGGTGGCCAAGTCGGGATGATGCTTACGGCCGATCACCTGTCCAGTCCAGAGTGGAACAAGCGGCCTGTTTGCCTGTCACTCGAGCATCCTTTCCAGAGTCTGGTTCCCGTCTCGGTCCCGAAGCCTCTTGGGCCACTCGGTGGTTGTGGAGTCAAGACTGCACTGCTCTTCGAATGATGCTTTCGCATCCTGCAGACTACTTGCACGATTTAGATGATCTACTAAAGAGGTAAGCGCACATATACCTAACTCGTCTTTTGCTCCGGCGACGCTTCGTTCTCCAAATGATAGCCTACATTGACTTATTTGAATCGCTTTCATTCATTAGAAAGTAATAAATGTATGGATGAATAAATACCATACTCCTCAACTTTTGGAGGAAGGCCAGGTCCTCCTGTGCCCGTACCCATGTTTATCTCAGTCTGACTAAAGCGTCAAGAGGCACTCCTTCAGATGCAGTCATCTTGACCCCAACAGGCTTGATTTCAAAGATCAACATGTGTACGAGTGTCCATCTTATTGGATTATCATTCCCTTCCTCGCTTAATTGAACTCTAATGGACACATCGTATGGAAAATATCCAATGACACAAATGATACCAATGCTTGGATATCTTGTGTTTACAGTCGGTTGAAATACTGGCAGCTCGGATTCCGTATTAAATGCCGGTTTGTTTACTGAGCCCAGCTGAACAGTTCGATTGCTGACGTTTCGTAATGCTTTCTGTGTATAGTAGTAGTGGTAGCGGTAATAATATTTTGCTTGATAGCAAAAACTGCGCTTCCCACGAATCCGGGTTGCATGAAGCCGGATGACATACCGATCCCCTTATACTTTTCCGACTTGAGTAATAAGCTTTCATGCGAATTGGCTGTCAGATGTTGTTGTACTCGACATTGCTTGGTTAGTTTACATTGGCCATTGTAACTATAATTGCGACGTGGGATGGATCATCGCAATCACTTCAGTACACATGCCACATTTGCCGTGGACACAGATACAACGCCAGATCTTTCTGTTGCTTTAAGCATATGTTTTCAATCCGATCGACCTCCTTCTTGGGTTGTTGGTAGACAGAGTTGAGATCATTGCACAGGTTTATCTTTGTAGACTTTTCATTGTTAGTTCACTCTTGCCCTCAACAACTTACACCGGCCGATGGGGGAGTGATCCACGCACCTGTTCTATAACCCATAGATCGCCGCTTCGAGCATGTCTAGGTGTGGTTGACCACGCGCTTCTGTGATTTCATTTCCTTTGCATTCTATTCGCATTCAGCCTCATCTTCTCACCGTTGTCATTTATTGTTATTCTGGCGCCGTGCGTTGTGGCAACTGGATCCACTACCCTTTGGTGCCCGGGTCATGCTTTTTCGACTGTACTGAACTGAACTGGGTGAAGACACGGTATCCTTGGCCCCAGGTGACCGTGGGTGGTCATCTGATAGCCAAATGTCCTTGCTACATACAGTAAAATCCCCGAAGTTGACGATCTCTCTAGGTTGACTGGTTTTTGTTATTATCGGTACGTTCACTTTGTAAAAAGTCCTCTAGATCCAGACTTTGTATATTGACCACTTTGGTCCAGTCCCTTCAGTAGTCAATTTATAGAAGTTTTACTGTGTCGGAATATTGTTTATTCCATTCATTTGGCTAACCGGATTGCAGTGCATTTCGAAGAACGATTCAGCTGACCATGGTTGTTCAATGTTTACTGTATCATTCGAATCCTCTTACGATCTTGGCACCTCGACTTCCAGCATCGACGAAATGTAACATAAGAGGTGGGGTGCTTTTGAGCCGAAACACAATACCTTAGGCTACCAGCATCTCTCCATGGTGAAATATGGAGGCAACTCAGCTTTTCTCCATCTAGCCATTCTGTCCAACCTCATGTGTAACACTGCGGAGATGGCTTCCGATTGATGACTGTCAACTGTTATTCCCGTCTCTGAAGAATGTCAAAGAACATCTTTTAAGGACCATTGATGCACGAACTTTATTGTTATTGTACGTAAATTGCCCATGGCGACCATATAACGGCGGTACATTTGTCCTTGGAAAATGGGGATCACTAAGAGTCAGGTTGGATTTCATCCTATTGAGATTGCATTAAATGCTTCCGTACGCATCAACAAGTGCTTGAATGCTCCACACACGAGACCCACCGAACCAGTGGCCAAAAGGATAAAGCGCCTGCTTTTTAGCCCAAAGATCACCGGTTCAAATTTGCCCAGGTGCGGGTAACTTCGCATTCTCTCTAGCCCGCACGCGCCTGGTTGTGGTCGCCTTAATGAACACAAGCCTGCCTTGTAATCTGAGGGTGAGGGTTCGAGCCTGTGTAGGGAGTGGGCGACCCTCGCAGTACCCTTAGCTCACGTGCGACCGGTGGTGGTTGCGCGGCAGCGAAGCGTCAGTACTGCGCGTACCGTTGTACTACTTTCTCCAGACAACGAAATGTCGGTGTGGCGCACCAGCCTACGGTTGGTACCATACCCACCGTGACGGTTAGCTGGATATGAGAATACAGCTATTGTATCGTAATACAATGCAGTAACGTTTTCGGTAAAAGAAAATACAACTAAACTGAATAAACTACAACATACAACTGAACAAGACTATGCTTTTTATTATGCATCGATACTGAGATCGTGGCGGACACCTGCCGTCTTCATGAATTAGGGCCTAGCAATTTTCTATGCAGGTTATCGGAAGCCTCATCCGATTTGGTGAAATTGCCAAATCTAGCCTTTTTGCATAATCCATTTTTCTGTTCCCCTTCTTAATGAATTCGTGCTTGTTGGCTTGTTTACGTTTTCTACCACCCGCTAGTTTCCATTCATTTTTTTGTTGGCACGGGTTATGGCAACTGGATACATCGCCTTTCAGTATCCTGATCGTCGTTGACCTACCGAAATAGACGAAGGAGCAGTAGTTCCGATCCATCAATGCTTCCTCAGTGTGCGACTGATTAACATTGCATAAGTTGCATTAGCTTGGGCGCATGAGAACGTATATTTCTCGACTGTGCGACTTACAGTCCAACTAATTGAACTGATCATATGGTACAACATAATCTCAAAGTGCACATTTTATTCCAGATTTTCCGGAACAGTTCAAAATCAGGTTTCTGTGGAGTTCAGTCGGTAGAAATGGTAAAAAGTAGGATAGTCTAAAAGTAGGATGAAAAAACACAATAGAATTAATACGACTATCCGTGGAACCGACTCCTAGGAACCTGCTTCCATGCGGGTATTCCCTTGAAAAGTTTCATCCACACTTCCACTTCACATTTGGCTTTGTGTCGGTGTGGTATAACAGCAAGCGAGTCACGTATGCCCAGCCTTCGCTAACCGAAAAGAGCCTTGTTCTGTTTGACGGATGTAGGGTGGCTCGAGATCAGCAGTTGACTTGACAGCGGGAACTGAAAGCACTGACTACAAAACTAGGTGTTGTTAGCCCGTCTTGCCTTTTAAACTGGGGTTCTTCGACTCGTCTTGTTCTTGCATCAAGATTTTACAGCACCAGGATCGCAGTGCGCATCAGTGACACTTCTGTCTGTTTAAAGTGTGATTGGTGCTGAGGTATCTGTGGGATAATGGTTGAATATGACGCGGAACACGGAAATCCGCAAGGAAGCTGTCTCGCTGATGCCGACTTATCTTTGTACGATAGCCAGCTGTTCGTGACGATATGTTGTTGACACAAGGTGTGTGCACCTTGACCCTGAATGGTTGCTTGAGGCAGTAATGTTTAACGTTAGGTCTCCATTGTCTCCCTGTTATTACTCTTTCCGTTGGCCATTGCGGTTGTACGATAGTACAAATATCGGATACACTACCATCGATGATGATGACTACATCGAAGGATTCTTCCGGATTTATCGCACTATTATTTCTGCTTTTTGTCAAATGAACACACCAAAATCGGCTCATAAGACATGAGTTTTCAATCGTTGTCACCATCCCTCGTTTTTAACTTGCCAATAGCCGCCTGCTGTTTGGTTGTAGTTAACCTTTAGTGCAAACTGCTGGTATACCACTGATTCGCTATCGCGAGATGTCTCCATGCTTGGTGAAGCTATTAACATCCCTTTCGCATGCAGAGGATGGCACTCGTTTGGCGACACGTACCATTTTGGGTAGGATTGTCATTGAACATTGATCTCGAGTAAAATTGCACAGACGAAACCGCGCGCAACATACGCTGCTCTGCAACTACACACGATCGTCGTCGTACTGAATGGTTCAGACGCATTCAGGGACCGCTGCGGTGAATGCAGTCCCTTTGCAACACCAAGTCGACGTGATGTTCATAGCGTGGCGCACCTGTTGTGGAGGAGTGCTCACCTATCTAGGCCAATTCTTCATCAGCATTGCCAGGCGCTTTAGGTAGGTACTTAGCTTCGTTTGTTCTTAGGAATCCAGTCAACGACGTTTTACTGGAAACTAACACGATTTTGAGTACCGGGAGGGATAAGTCAAGTCGCAGCTGTGAGTACTGCGGTGCTTATTTCAAGTCAGACCTAATCGCTTACATCCAGAAATAAAGGTGAATTCCAGATGCCGGTTTCAGTATGGCAAACTCTCGACTGGGAGGATACCAGATCCCGATATACCTCAACCATCTTCTTCTGCTTCTGTTACCTATCGACTACATCAAATGATTCCGAATTGCCTTGGTCGGCGGTATCAGTATTTGATGAAACATCCACCACCACTCAGTATCATCAGGGTTACTTCACCTAGCAACTGTATTTGAAGCAACATCGACCATTGACACTTAGGGCGTTAGCTGAAGTTCACGAAACATTTCGGCTAAATTCTGGGTTGAAATATAAACGTTGTGCCATTTGGCGTTATCTCCTCCATCATTTACGTCCGTTATAATGACATGTTGGCCGATGTATTTTCGCTCCTGTAGGTCACTGCCTCATCTTTACTGCTGCTTTCACTGTAGGGCGACTTATGACAGCCGTATCTATTTAGAGGGTTTTTACAGCCACGTACTTTTTCTCTCTAAAAGCATAGCAATTCTTTTCCGCTTTATGGTTCCTCAGGTTCTCATTTGTCGTCCCCCTCGTCATTTCGTCTGGATTCACACCGCACACATCCTGTCCGAAATACCGTTCTCAACTGGTGGGACAATCCCAGCGGATTTATTCGCTGCTAGCGTCTAGCTGCCTGCCCGCTGTTTGCTTGCCTTCGTCGGGCTCAGATACACCAACATCTCGGGGTACGCGCAACACCCTGCCTCTGAGTCCGTTGTCATGGCTGATGCCCGTGCAATTGCACCGAATTGCTACCGCATGCCGCATTCAGTTCCCCGATTCCCGCCTTATTCAATACGATTGTGGTATGTTCACTATTGGTTCTGTCGTTCTTGCACGCACTCCTACTTTAGCTCAACTCGAGCACTGATAATGGTTCTGTCCACTCTTCGCTTGGTACCGGGCCTGTATGAGCTCGGCTTTTGTGGAATTTTCCGACGCCGTATATCCTTAATATAGAACGGCAATACCGTGCGTGTCAGCTATCCAACACTTGAACCAACCATCCTTGCCATCCTTCTCATTCCTATCGTATTTCCAAGCGTTCAAGGTTGTGTCGTAGTTTCACATTTTTTGCAGCTTTAGCTCCTGGTTTTCACATTATCCCGAGTAGCAATCATCCCATAGACTTTAAATCCCAAGACTACAACAGCGTCTGTTGTTTCGCTTCTTCTATCCGATCGTCGAATGTTCTATACTTGTGGTTGTTATGTTGTCTAGTAAATACGGCAGTGACGCTTCATTATAGTGTTATACCTAATGGTACGGATGGTCAGGTCAAGGGTCAATATAATATGCTTTATGCACCCATTAAAGGTGAATATTCAACTTTAACACACGCTACTGATAGGGATACTATGGGAAAGAAAAGTACATGAGGATGGATATAAAAATCAAAACGTCTAAAAATTGACAGCATAAATATCACTGAAGTAATTTACTAGCCAGTTCTTGAATTAGAGAATTTCTATCGTTCAAAAGACGTAACAGGCAAGGAACTACTGATGTTACCATATACCGTTGTGCGGGCGTACTTAGTCTTGTAGCTCTGTTTGATCAACAAGGTTGATAGGCATGCGGACAACGCCCTGTGAAACGGGTGACTAACATCTGAGTATTTAGAATGCGAGATTGTTACATGAGTTGGCATGACTGGTTACAGTGATGTTACCGAGTTCCGATCTTGTAATGCCGCTACACCGGGATAGATGCTTCACTGATCTGACGATTTGAGGTCCTTACTCAGGAGACCAGGAAAAATCACGGGAAAACAATAAGTCCAGTAGGATGACACGCACATGCTGAATCAGAAAACGGAGTCCGGAAGAAGACCTGAGATGTGTAACCTAGACTGATGGTCTTCTAACTTTAGTGAATATTTTGTTCACGTGCAAGGACCACGTAAGCCCATTGCTCAGTGTCACTCCTAGATATCTAACTGAAATGGAAGAGGTCAAACATTCACCGTCAATGCAAAGTTGCGGACACTGCGTTAGGATTTGCTGGTAGCGATTTCTTTTGAACAGCGTAAAAAGGACATTTTCAATTGTTTAACGGTAAGTAACGGGATTTGGACCAAGTTATGAGGTTGTCCAATAGGGTTTGTAACTTGGCCGTTGACTCTGCTTGCATGCTGAACGCCAAGGACTACATCGTCCGCATACTTCATCGGGATGACTTCGAGGAGAAGGATTGAGGTAACGTAAGTGGAAGACAAGAATGGGGGCAAATGGTTCCCTGAAGAACATCAGAGTTTGTGTTGAGTAAAGCCGAGTTTTTTCCCATTAACCTGTTAAATTGGGTACGGCTAGTAAAATAATCTTTCCACTGAAGAACAACGAAGATTTGGACTCTGGAAGCTAACAGATCGCACAACAGTAGTTCACGGTTCACACAACCGAAAGCATTGCTAAAATCCAGGAAGCAGATGCGAATGAATTTGTTTTTATTGTTCAGTGGGGAGATCAAACTATGTGCCGGGCTTGCGACTGCATCTAAAATGGGTCTTGAGATGCGATATGCAAACTGATATGGGTCATCCAAAATGAGTTTATGCTGAGGTCATTTTACGTTTAAGCCTCTCGAATGTCTTAGGGGCAACTGACGTGCATGCGGTCGGCCAATATTTATAGGTTCCTTTCTTTGGCATTGGCGTGATGCTTGTGCTTCGCCAAATGTCAGCTTTCTTGTCATGCTTGAAGCACAGCGTGTACAAGTCGGCAAGGGGCTCCGCCAGGTAATCTGCACACTCCTTGAGAACCACAGGAGACAACTTATTCGGACCAGGTGCTTTGTTCATCTGCAGTTCGACTAATTCTCTGTGTACTTTCAAGCTGTTCACAGAAGGAGGGTTATCTGAGGCTAGCTGTAACTCAGCAGAGGTTAAGTTGTTCCGAATCCAGAGATGAATTCGTGACTTTGCGGGTGACTCCGCTTAACTTTTACAACATTTTCCATATTTCACAATAAATATTGTTTCCAAGTGTAGCTGGAAAGTAGATTTCTTTGGGGCAACGCAATTCGCTTTTTATATCAATCAATAGAGACTTTAGGTTGAAAAGCCTTCTAACCTGACGCAGTTGTTTGAGACGTTGACACGAGAATCTATCGGTACGGATAACAATTGTTTCAACTGGACACCAGGCGCCGAAACAGAACTTTAAGTAGCTACTTAACTGGTCATAATACGCTAAGCCTGCAGCGTAAGGTAAACCAAAACCGATGGAGGCAATGACTTCACGCGCTCGCTAAATGTTCTGGGTAAGGCATTGCCTCCATCTGAAATTTGCAATGGGGGAGATCTTTGTGGTTCATCTTGCTATGGATAACGGGAGATAGCCTTACGATAGCATGATCAGAGCTCCCAAGTGGCGCCCGATTACAAACAGAAAACACTTTCCGATTGCTAACAAATACTATGTCAAGCGTGGCATCTAACCTGGTTGGAGATTGCACTATTTTCTTTAGTATCGCAATGAACTTGGTGTCAGATCTGTTTAAATTGCCATCAACTCTATACACGGAGAGTTCCAGAGTTCCAAAGGACTACAGCTGCAGATCCGTCGTCAAATTCCTCTACTTCGTAGCTTGGACAAATGAGGGATATAAACATTTGCCAATAAAATCAAACAAAAACCGTTCAACGGTCTTAGTTTGCATCTCAAGATTAAGTAGCTGATGCGTCGAAAGCTGTATTGAAAACGCTTTCACTTGACGTGCACCACGAATCATTAATGTAAATAATCATGCAACCACCGCGGTTCCTCTGTGTGAAAAGACTCATTTACAACCTTTAATGAATAGATGACACATGCACCAACGGTAAAGTCAATGAGCAACTGGGCAATCCACCTCTGGAAATTAGCTTACTGAAACGCACAATCAGCGTGTAGTTTTTGGTAGAGGACCAGGAATGACGATAAGTGAGCAGTGTAGCCAGTGAGCAACAGATATTCACGAATTTGTAAATTAAAGAGTAGGGTACTGAAGGCATTTTGATTATCAGCGCATACAATGTCGATTTTCACACCTTAAGGAACGTTTCGTCAATGTGTGTTGACCATGATAGATTATGAGATAAATATACACCAAGGTATGGGAATATGTTTATGTTGCTCATCCCAACACTGGCACCCCACGACCGCGGTTTCGTCCTGGTTTGCACTCATCAGGTGTAGATAGCCTGGGCTGGGTTGGAAATCACAACCTAGTGGTTCACGGCTGACGCCATAAACACCATGCCACTGAGATCCGCGAGCAACGCTTGTTACAGCGGAAACGAATTCAAAGTTTGACTTGGATAATCAGCTGTGGCATAGTGTTTATGGCATCAGCTGTGAGCCACTAGGCTGTGATTTCCACCCCAGCTCAGGCTATCTCCACCTGATGAGCGCAAACCAGGACGAAACCGCGGTCGTGGGGTGCCAGTGTTGGGATGAACGACACCAAAATATTTCCGTGTGGTCGGAATGACCGAGTTCCACCTCAAGTGAACCGGGGTCTCAATAGAGGTTGCTTCTAGCAACCCAACCACACGGCGGATTCTCCAACTCCAACTTTGAATACACCAAGGTGCTAAACGGTGGTTGAACTTGGTAATGTTGGGGTCGTTCACCTTTGTAGAGCGAGAAGTGTTTGCCAAATTCAGATGCTTGTCAGTGTGGAGGAAGGAGAAAGTTACGCCGCGGCATTCAGAATCGTTGAAAATAAGGGATCGGGACGACGAAGACTGCTTTGGAGAGCTGTTGGTGATTCATCGGTTGGAGCAATAATGTCTAGAACTACGTCGTCGGTGTACGCGCATCCAATAAATTTGAGAGGAATTGGAAGCATTTCGATGTATGCAGAGTATTGAAGAGAAAAAATAATTGCTCCATGTAAAACGTTCCAGTCCTCACGAAGAGTGGAGGATTTTTTACGGTTCAGCTGGTTAACTGAGAGCGTTTAACGAATTAGTTGTTCATCAAGTTGCACACTACTGGTTGAACACCATTCACCGACAGCTGATTAAGCAAGATTGGTCTGTCGACACTTCCAAATGCGCTGGAGTAATCACGGAAAAGAAACCGCACAGGCTCGCATTTCGCATCCACTGCATATGTTATTGAATGAACAAGGTATGCTACAGCATCCAACGTGGAACGTCGAGGTCTGTGCAGAAACTGGGATATATCGACATCCGGAGTTCTTGTTGAGATCCAGGGCACGAGTAGGCGATCTAGAACTTTCAGCATGATGGACGTACAGGCGATCGGACGAAACTCCCAGCATCCCTTCTTTGGCACGCGCGTTATTTTGACAGACCTCCAAATGGGACTAATTCCAACATGTACGTAACGATTAAAGAGATCTTTCAATGGAATAGTGAAGGTATCGCACACTTTCAATACAACTGATGAAAGGATAGCCGGCCCACCATCCTTCCTTGAATTCAACTTCAATGTGTTGTATGGTGATGTTAGGGCTAGCGCCAGAGAACGAAGGCAAAGAGGAGAAGGTGGCAAACACTGCTTCCTTTGGGGAAGAACAGAACTCTGAATTGAGTTTCTCTACATCCACAGAATCAGGCTGCTTACTGCTTTTTACCCTTTAGCTGTTTTAAAAGTATCTACTGGTCGCGACAGTTTTGGCGGCATAAAACGGTTTCGACGTATACATTATTCACTCTTACCATCTCAGCTTTTATTGCCAAAGTGAGTTGTGTGAGGCGTGCAATCATTTTACATATGTAGGCCTGTTCTTTTCTCTTTCTGTTGTTCGAGTGATAGGGAAAACAAGCTATATACTCGTAAGTAGATGGTTTCGA